ATGATAATCACAAAACATAATGTGTCACTGTGTCATAACAAAAACATGTCCCAGAATCTCAATAACATAAACTCCATAAGTGTGTACGGATCATGTCGGCGCCTTCCCACGGTCTTCGCTAGTATTTGAAACACATATCATAACAACTGTAAGCATAAATGCTTAGTGAGTTCCCCAAAATACCACATGCCACACATACGCCTTTCCAGGCCACAACTATGTAGGATCTTCCGATCCATGTGTCTCAGGGGACTCCCGTCCCAAATCCCGGTAAACCTTCCGGTCCTACCCGTATCGACCTTCCGGTCCGTAACCACTTGACCTTCCGGTCCATATCATACATAATCATACATAGCACATACATATCACATAACCGCATATAGGCACATACATCATAGCATACAAGACCTTCCGGTCACACATAAGTACCCTTCCAGGTACAGTATAGTGAGAAAGACTCACCTCAATGAAGTCGGATAAACTCTCGTGCTCAACGTCCCGACTTTGCCTCCTCCTATTATTCAAATAAAATCCTGATCAATATTCTCTCATGATCTCATCTCTACAAACTGGGTAGAAGGCCATTCTACCCTTCCCTAAACTCTCCTGAATCAGTCTTGACCAGAACCCTAAAGTCAACGAAAGTCAACGGTCAAACTTTGACCCGACTCGTCGAGTGCACATGGGCGACTCGGCGAGTCCATGCGGGTCCTTTGAATCCTTTCAGCCTCTCTTGGCTCGTCGAGTCATCCTTCCACTCGACGAGTTACACCTGTCACGAATCGCGGGGCAACCCCGACTCGACTCGTCGAGTCCACTTATGGACTCAGCGAGTTGCCGCCATGCCCATACTCAAATAACCATCTGAGGTCAGATCTGTTCCTCTAATCCATAGATTTGACCTTTCCAAGCTCAATAAACACGTAAAGGTTCGATCTTGATACTCATGAAATGTCCAAATAACCCTACTTGATGAATTAGCCCCAAATACAACATCCTAAGTCCATTTCTTCCATAACTCATCATAAAGCAAGGTGGATAGAGTTCTCTGGACCACTATGGGTCCAGATCTGAAGTCTAAACATGATAAGGGACCATATTCCCAACAAATCAACCCAATAAAGGGTATAGAAAACCCTAGATCCATGGATTCTTTAACAAAACAGAAAAAGGATCGATGTGCTACCTCAAGGATGATGTCCTTTGCTTGAAATCCACAGATATGCAACCTCCTTGGCCTCCTCTAAGCTGGAACCACCTTCTTCTTGCAAAACCAACCCACAAAGATCAAATAATGGCTTCTTCCCTCTCACAAACACTCAAGCACTCTTAGGGTTTCTCTCAAGGGTCTGGTAGCCGCAAATGGTGGCTATAAAGGTCCTTAAATAGGGCTCAGGCCCCGAGAATTAGGGTTTCATTAAACAGCATGGACTCGCCGAGTCCACGTATGGACTCGCCGAGTCCTTCATTAAATCAGACCAAAGTGCGCGATCCCACTCGGCGAGTCTGAGCGCCTACTCGCCGAGTCCCTTTCTAAAATTCAACATAAATAATTAAAATAAGATACCTGGGAATCCGGATGTTTCATTGGGATTGTGACAAGTTAATCACATGATGATTATAGGCAGTTGAGTCGGAGCTGTGCGTTGGGACTTATCGGATCTTATCTTGTCAGTGCAGCATTCACGAGAGGTGAGCCTCCTCACCATACCAATGGGTCGAAGGCACCAAGGCCGGCCCATTTTATGATATGTGGCACACTAGCTGAAGTTATATTATGAGGCATGATAGTTGGTTATTGTTGGGTTTGAGCACTATAACACTCCTATGGTGCACATGAAACCCTAGATGCTTTGGATCTATGTTTTCTCTAATTATACATGCATTTTCAATTTTTTCCAAAGCATTCTCCTAACTAGCATACAAATTGTCAAATGAACAATACAACTAGTTAGATTACTTACCTCTTAGGAGGACTTGTAGTTCTCGACCTTTGAAAGCTTGAGCACCCCAAGTGTGATGCCTCTAATGGTTCACAAACACCAATATGCAAGAAGAGGCTTGAGAGAATAGGTTGCTTGCACAAAATCAATATCACTCTCCAAGAAAACTTGTGGCTTATAGTGTAACCGATTTTGTCCATAAGGGGGGGGGGGGTTCTATTTATAGTGTGGCAAATGCTAGGGTTACACTTTGTAAACCGTAATTACCTTTCATATTACTTAGGATCCATGAGTTAACCTCCATGGACTATCCATGGATTATCTCATTGGTTTAGCCTATCCTAAATAACCATGGATCATTAGCCCACTACTAGAATCATTGATTTACACAATCATTCCCCATATATTTAATTAGTCTCTTTTGATCACAAAATTAATTCCAAATTAATTCTTGATCAATACTAATTAAATAATATGATTTCATATTAATATATTATACTTGTAATATATTAATAAATCATAATTAACCTTATTCTCAAAAGTCCATCCTATCAAATTGCACTGGTGAAGGCAACCCAAAAGGACCATGCTACAATCGGGTTAAGTACATCCCAATTATAGTTATGGGCTTAGACACCAAATCCAATAGTCTCCCACTTGGATAAGTCTAATAACTATACCTGCCAATGTGACTTCCGGATCCGACTTAGCAATCGTAAGCTTTTAAAAGCCGCTGTCAAACTCTGACCTAGTCAGTGACATGCCATTCAGATAAGGGAACATATACTCCTCTGTTCTCAAGATATCTATGCGGACAAATAGATGGAACATAGTCATACTTATTGTCTTGCAATTTTGTTTCCCGATTTCCGATTCGTCTGACATAGAACATAACTGAACACATCAATTTAGTTCTGACCGGGCCCGACACATAGTGTGACATCCCGGATTTTTGGTCAAAGACTGTGAACGATCAAGTTCACAGTAAGTCTCTTTGTAGTTTGAATCATTGAGTTTTGGTGCATCTAATATAAAATAAATGAGTTATTTCAACTATTATAAGATACCAGATGATATTTTACTTCCAAATGTGTAAGTTGACAAACAAATCAAACAACTCAAACTGCAACCTTAGTTAACGCGTCTGAAAAACTGAAATTTTGTATTAAGTTGTTGTGAACAATACAAACACTCTAGTCTCGTAGTATGCATTTCCCTAATTCCGAAAATATAAACAACGTCCAAAACGGAGTTCATCTGCAAAAGATATGATCGTTTTAAGAATAAAAAAAAAACCAGCATAATACTAATTCTATTAAAATCGCTAAAACTGTTTCTAAACGTTGAGGGACTTGCACACCTCAAACGGTTTTTCCGAAAATATTTTTGGACTCAGGCTATAGCCTAATATCTAATTTCATATTTGAAATATTTTTAGTAAAAATATTTATAAAAAGTTGAAAAATCATTCGTTTTCAAATTTATTAATCGCAAAACCTTAAACTATTGATTTCGACATGATTTCAATTATTGACAATATATTATGGAAATAATATATTGTTATCCAGTCTAGTTATGACGGATCTTAACGAAGAGATAACTCAAAGTTTCTAAAATTATGTACATCTACATACATATATGTGTGGAGAACGTATTTTTCAAAAAAAAAATATTTTGAATTTTTTTATAATTTTTATAAAGTCATATTGTATATAACAAAAAAATTAATCATGCAATCACAATGCATATACGTTATAATTAAAGTTACATAACATCACTAAATATATATAAATTTATATACATATGTATATAGGAGTATGTGATATATGTCAATTTTAAATATAAGAGACAAAGGTTTAACAAATTAACTATTTCACATTTCCTAAGGTATTAGTTATATATATATATATATATATATATATATATATAGATATATATATATATATATATATATATTACACTAATTATATAACAAACTTATGACAAAAGAAAATAGATTTCATTTATCAATACATGATTTGTAAAAGTCTTAAGTATACATACATGTGGATACTAATAAGAGTGTCTAATCAAATGTATATACAATTATGGGCAAAAGAAAGCAAGTTAAATATATTATTTCCCTTCACATTCCAATTTAACTAATACATACACAAGATACATAATGAAATTTGTTGTATAACAATTTACACACAAAATACACACATTAATATATTATACATAAATAACAATTATTGAACCATGCATATATAAAATTCCACACAAAGAAAATGTGTTGGTATGCCTCAAGTTGCTTACACTCTTCCTTATCCAAATCAAGACTCAAACACTATACCATACAATTACAATGTATACAATCTGTATAAATAAATCATCTGATAAACAAAAATATATATGGTACACACTCATACCCCACGTGCTACTCCCACAAGTTAATACTCTGAGTCATTATTCATATGATCACACACGCAAGTTTGTGCTCCATTTTCTGCACACTCAAAAAGGAAACCAGTTTTTGCACTCCACTATCTTCCTTCCTTCCCACGTTTTTCTCACCTGTAACAACTCACACTCCTTCCGTGGAAGGCCACGAGCCAAACATCCCCTGTTCGACATATGCTTCCCGTCAACCCCCTTACTCCTTCTGTTCAAGATGAACACACCAAACCCAATCAATCCTTTTCACCCATTGATTTCTGTAAAACAATAAACCCAAATCATCTTTCCCTTCATCAATGTTCATCAACACACACACACACCCAAATGATAAACAAATAAATCAAGGGGAGTACCTGTTAGCCACCATCGATCCATATTTTGAAATGGTTGCTTCTGATCATCTTCTTCTGGATTTCTAATCGACCACAGCAGCCCCGATTGTGCCCCTCGTTCTTTCCACTGTCAAGAATCAATCAGCAAACGCTCATCTTAACCTAAATCTATTGACTAAACCCCATGGATTTACAGTCAAAGTAAAAAGAAGAGAGATGAAAGGAAACCTGTGATTATTGAGCAAACATCAACCCCGCACACCCCCCATCGCACCTGCCCTCTCTCATGTCGGCCTTCACCACCGAATCCCCACCTGCTTGCAATGTCCGGACCTCACACCTCGCTGCCGGAAGAGACGAAGAAGACTTTGCTGCTTCTTCACGACTCCATCGACCCTCGCTGCTGCGCTACCCCCATCCCGTTCTTTCTTCCTCTCGTCAAGACCCGAAGACACCTCTCTCTTCGCCGATCGAACCTTCGCGCTCGCACCTAGCAGCCGACCGAGAAGCAGCGGACGTCCAACCCTTCTCCGTCTGCTGCTGTCGCAGAACCACCCTCCGTCGTTGTCCCCGCTTGTTGTCGTTGGTATGGAACCTCGACCGGCTACCACTCACTGCCACTGTGAGTATTCGATCGACCACCACCACTATGTAATTTCTACTGATTGGTTGTCCATTTGACTGCTCAAGTCGGAAACGCTAGACCTAGGTCATGGTCTCGTCCCCAAATTGTCTGAACTGCAAAGAAATCGCGACTGGTAAATGAAGGGGAACTGTTCAAACTTGAATCCCATTTAATTAAATATAACCCTCAAGTTAGATGAATTTACAAAATCGGTCCCTCCTGTGAAATGATTTTCACTTAAGTCAAACTGCCATCAAAACAATCAAAAACAGACCCTCCCTTCGAAAATCCTAGCAAGAATGTACAGTTTCAGTCCCTGTCTTGTAAACAGATCACAAGATCAGTCCCTTGTTGAATGATTTTAGCAAAATCGATCCCTTGAAATTATTTGTATTCACAAAAACCACCCTACACTTAATAATTAATACCAAAAGTACTCTCTTGGTTTTATTAGGTATCATAAATATACCCGGTGGTTCGTTTTAAGAACGAGAAATGTCACGTAACAAATCTTACAAAAAGTTTCTCAAAAGGAACCGACTTCGAACGATTGGAACTCACGCTTCAAGGGTGAGTGCTTACGGCCCCTTTTCAATATTTTAATTATTTCGGGGGGGGGGGGGGGGGGGGAAATTCATGTGCCTATATGTTTTGTTTATACAAATATATTATCTTTTATACGAAAATACAATAAACATAGTTTATAAAAATATTATTATTTAACAATTTACCATATTGTTAAAAATAAACTAGTAAAAACTTTTTGTATACATGTTATGATTATTTTATCGTGAAATAACCATTTCACACAACAAATACTACACGATACAAAGTTTTATGATTTTTATATTATAACAAGTACGTTATGAAACTGTGTAGTATTTCAATGGTTAAAGATATTACTATGCATGTATATTTATATGTTTATATGCATAAAGTTTATACATGTACACATGTTCATTAATTTGAAACATTCATTTTTAGTCTTATATGATATGCATACTACCAATTTAAAGTATTCCAAAGTTTTAAGACTTCTATACATGAATACTTTTATGCATAAGGCTTTACACATATACAAGTTTAAAGTATTTAAAAGTTTCAAACACTTTTATACATGAATACTTTTATGCATGAGGCTTTACACACTTATAAAAGACCATTATATTGAACTACATTTCTCTATAAAAGCGAGTAATTTATACATTTTTAAATACGACAATCATACTCGGCTTTTACGAATGCTATAACACGAATTTCTCTCTCTCTTACTACAACAATAGGTTTTGTTGCCTTCAAGTATATTTTTTAAGTATGGAAATTACTTATGCAAAGCATTCATTTTGACTTTTAAGAAGTCATTACAAGTACATTTTTAAGTATGGAAATTACTTATACAAAGCATTCATTTTGACTTTTAAGAAGTCATTACAAGTACATTTTTATGTATGGAAATTACTTATACAAAGCATTCATTTTGACTTATAAGAAGTCATTACAAGTGCATTTTAAGTATGAAAATTACTTATACAAGCATTCATTTTGACTTTCAAGAAGTCATTACAAGTACATTTTTAAGTATGGAAATTACTTATACAAAGCATTCATTTTGACTATTAAGAAGTCATTACAAGTACATTTTTAAGTATGAAAATTACTTATACGAAGCATTCATTTTGACTTTTAAGAAGTCATTACAAGTGCATTTTAAGTATGAAAATTTCTTATACAAGCATTCATTTTGACTTTCAAGGAGTTATTACAAGTACATGTTAAAAGCATGAATTTATTCATATCAAAATACATTCTTGGATTTTAAAGACTCTTTGCAAATACTATTTTTTTTAACTATCGTTATACATACAAAGATAATACTTTTTAGACTTATTAAAAGTATTACTGCGTTAGCAGAAAACATGTGACACTCACCAACCTTTGTGTTGACTTTTAAAACTACATGTATTCTCAGGAAAACACTAACCAGGCATTCAAGACAAATTGGATTACATGTGACCAAGTGTATTTGTTGTTGTATGATATGCCTACCTGTTAAGGCAATTCATGTATTATTATTATTTGTAAAACCTTGTATTCAAATATCAAGATCGAACATGAATGCTATTTTGTTTATTGTTGTACTTGTGCTGTATATTCAATTTGCCTGTGATCCATGAACTTAGTCACACAGCCCGGCGTGTTCCGTCGCCTCGGCCAGGGGTGTGACAGATTGGTATCAGAGCTAAATTGGCTATAGAGAACTCGTATCCTCGAAAGAGGAATACAACTATAGCAACTAGCTACTTATAAAAGTATTATTAATATTAATAACACTGCTTCTCGACTACTTACGGTACTTCATGTCTGGCCCACATTTGTGCTCGATAGTCGGGAAGTACAAAACAAAAATTAATAATACTGCAAACCCCACCAACAATAACATGTAAGAGTTATATATATACTCTGACCCGCGATGAGAACACTTAATAAAAATTCTAACATGCCTCCAACTAAAACTACCAACTCAACCCTTTAGGTCAAACGCCTCAATTAAGGTTAGTACCGTACATAAGCCATACCATAAATAAACCTGGAATGTACGCCTATGTTATTTATGGTCGGGCCGGTGAACAACAAACCTTGAGCCAGGAGTTTCACATACTACAATGGTTGAAAGTTTTAGAGATTGAAGGATGTTCTCAAGATTCGCTGCAAGAAACCTAGTATCTTAGAAACCTTATATCAACCCCAGAACAACGTATACATTTTAAAATACACTTAAAAATCTTGGATAACGTTTAGATTTTCTTAATCTGCCTAAACCCAAGGAAGAACAAAGAACCAATGGCTCCGCTACCATCGTAGCAGAGAAACCCATTGTTCCCAATCGATCAGTCAATAGTCTCCAAACTTCTCTCTCTATCATTTGAAATTGGTAGGATTTCAATTCACTCTCTATGATTAGGAAATCTATAGGACTTCTAGAATCAAACACTCTATATAATTTGGAACCTTACCATGAGAGGATCATAGGTGACTGCTTACACCTCCCGATTTAACAACCTCACAAACCTTTGCCCGGGAATGGTGAACCTGGAATACAAAAATACCGAAAGGTACATCTGGGATTAGCTTCACCAGTTCAAGGTCTTGTTACTACATCCAAACCCACTATCTTTTATAATGCCAAGCAGTTGGCCTATCAATTGATTGAGCAGTGTATCAGTCACGGTACGATGACACCACAAACTTAAAAGAACTAGGTTGGGAGTACAAAAATGAAGTTCCATGACAAGTCAAAGGTGAACTTCAAGCATCGCAAACCCAATACAAAATCTATGGTTGTGTACACTATAATCATAAACACACCCACTCAATCAAAGCCCTACTGTAGGACTTTACCTCACTATACGAAGTGCGATTTCCACCATATCGGAAATTGTGTGATCTGCAACATCTGTAACTTGAGAGGTCACACCTCTAAGTTTTTGCAGAAAGGCCCTGAATAACCACGTCTTTCACGTCCACCTAATACCTACGACCATTGGAAGTTTCGATGTGATCATCGAAATGGATTGGTAATCACTTCATCAAACAAGAGATCTTATGTTACAAAAAAAAAAAGTCGCCCAACTACCTATACCCAACAACAAAGCTCTTGTGATTTACAGAGACAAATCAGGAAAGAATCTAATAACCATCTCTTGCATAAAGGCAAGAAGGTGTTTATAGAAGAGATGCTTCGCTTTCTTGGCCCACGTGGTGGATATGCAAGACAAGGGTAAGGAAATCGTAGACATACCGCTAGTGTGCGATTACCCGGGTATATTTCCAGAGGATATACCTGGAGTACCCCCAGTCAGACATGAGAAATTCCGAATTGACCTAATCTCGGGTGCAGCACCGGTGGCAGGATCTCCTTATCGTCTGGCTCCATCGGAAATGCAAGAACTATCCATCCAACTCCAAAAACTTCTTAACAAAAGCTTTATCCGGTCAAGCTTCTCTCCATGAGGAACTTCAGTATTGTTGTCAAATAAAAGGATGAATCGTTCAGGATATGCATCGACTATCGAGAGTCGAACAAACTCGCTATCAAGAACCGATATCCACTCCCGAAGATCGTTGACCTGTTCGAGCAGCTACAAGGATCCCGTTACTACTCAAAGATCGATCTAAGATCTGGTTACCATCATCTTAGAGTTCAAGAAGTAGACATTCCAAGGAAAACATTCAGGAGTCAGTACAGTCACTACAAGTTTCTGGTCATGCCATCCGGACTGACTAACGACGCCAAACGACGTACACCAATTCATAGGGCTTGCAGACTATTATAGGAGATTCCTCGATAATTTCTTAAAAAATAGCCAAGCCTCTCACCGCACAAAGCTACAAAGATAAGAAAGTCGATTGGGGAGACAGACAAGAGTCTGCCTTCTAGAAATTGAATCAATTATTGTGCAGTGCACCAATTGTGTCTCTTCCAAAGGGAACAAAAGACTTTGTAGTATTCGACGACGCTACCTCTATAGAACAAAGTGTGTCATGCTCATCGACCATAAAACCCTTGAACACATCTTAGATTAGAAGGAGCTCAATATGAGATAACGAAAATATGTCAAGTTGCTAAATGATTACGAATGCGAAGCTCGTATTCATCCTAGTAAGCAAATGTCGTGGCAGATGCATTAAGCAGGAAAAAGAAAGCAAAGCCTCTTCGTGTAAAGGCTCTAACCCTAACCACCCACTCCAATCTCACCACCCAAATTCGTGATGCTCAACTAAGAGCACTCAAACCCGAGAATATCGTGGAAGAAAAACCTTCGAGAAATGGACAAATAGTTCGACCTCAAGGAAGACGGAACACGATATTTCATGAATAAAATTTGGACCCTAGACCAAGATAGTAGATTCACTTCCAGGTTTGGGCAATCACTGTAAAGGTTCTTAGGAACCAAACTCGATATGAGTATAACCTACCATCCTCAAACGGATAACCAAAGTGAAAGAACGATACAAACTTTAGATACATGCCCCCGTGCTTGGGTGATAGACTTCAGTAATTCATGGGAAAACAAGGTAAACTAAACCCCCGTTAACTCGGACCTTTTGAAATCCTGAAAAGGGTTGGTTCGATGGCTTAAAAACTCAAATTACCTCAAGAACTCAACAAAGTTCACAACACCTCCCACGTATATAATTACTATAACTATAAAGTGCATATTAATTATATATAACTTGGTTATATTCGACCTTCGATTAAATGACCCGATGTGACAACCTGAAATTTTCATTCGTATAAACTCTACAGTCAAGCACTACAAATAGTAGCCAAATTCATTTCAGTACGTTTTTGGCCGGTTTTCAGTCAGTTTGGGTGTTTTTATTTTATATTCGTCAAACGAACAAATAAAAGGAAGTATACTTTAGAGGTTGTCGTGCATCACTTAAGTCTCAAAACTCCAAGAGTTTGGAGTTTACGGCCCGAAACATGGAGTTTACGGCCATAAACTGTAAAGAGTATAAATATGACACTTAGTCATTTTTGGCTCATTTTTCACTTCCTAGCTCAA